TTTTTTTGTCAGTCGTGGGGGTTGAACTCTGGGCCTGGGAGCTGTCCCTCAGCTCTTCAGCTCAAGGCGAGCGCTCTACCACTTGAGATACAGTGCCACTTCCGGTTTTCTGGTGGTTTATTGGAGATAGGAGTCTCACGGTCTCTCCTGCCCGGGCTGGCTTTGAACCACGATCCTCAGATCTCAGCCTCCTGAGTAGCTAGGATTACAGGCGTGAGCCACCAGCGCCCGGCTATATCTTATTTTCTTAAAACACAGGAATTATTAATCAGGATGTCTTCTAGAGTTCAATTTTTATCCTTCATGAAAATACATTGTATAAGTTGGAAATAGAGACATTGAATATTCATGAGATGCAAAGATGATTTTACAGGCAGTTTTTAGGGAAGAAACATTCCAAGTTGAAGCAGTTGTGCTGAAAACCTTCCTACTTTTTCTCTGGAGCCAGAGATGTTACTACTGTACAAGCTTGAGTTTGAAGAGTCAGTATTTGTGTCTATAGTTACAGTTGGAAGCCGATGAACATTCTTAACTCAGTAGTAGAGAAAAGAAAAATCATATAGAGATCTTTTCCTTTCTTAGTAATATCCCATTACCATCTCTCATTCTTTTGGCTCCAGTTGCATTACAATCATCCTGATAGATGATTTTGTAGCACTTAAAAAATTCTTATTGAGACTTTGAGTTAGTGCCCCCTCTAGTGTTTAAAATCCCTTATCTTCAGTTGGAAACTCAGCGATTACTGAAACTTTGTATATTTTTAATTATGTAAAAGTAGAGTATCATGTCTCTATGTTCTTAGCTGTTTTTAACTTAAACAATGCTTTTTAAATCTGATAGATTGATATGCTGCTGAAAGAGTATTTACTCTCTGGAGACATTTCTGAAGCTGAACATTGCCTTAAGGAACTGGAAGTACCTCATTTTCACCATGAGCTTGTTTATGAAGTAAGATTGCTTTGCCATGCCAAAGAGAATTTTTAAATATATTTTTTTTGCACAGCAGGGACTTTCATCTTTCTTAGTAACATATGTTCATTTTTCTTCTTTTAAAAACTGTTAATGATCAGTTGTGGGGCTTGAACTCTGTGCCTGGGTGCTGTCCCTGAGCTCTTCAGCTCAAGGGGGGCACTCTACCACTAGAGCCACAGTCCCATGCCATTTCTGGTTTTCTGGTAGTTTATTGGAGATAAGAGTCTCACGGACTTTCCTGCCCAGGCTGGCTTTGAACCGTGATCCTCAGATCTCAGCCTCCTGAGTATCTAGGATTACAGGTGTGTGCCACCAGCGCCCAGCTTTCTAAAATATTTATTATCATTTAATCATTATGTATTAGAAGAAAGAGATATAACACATTTTAAGAAGTCTTATCTGAATTAATAACCAAAAATTAATTTTGCTCAAATTTTAGGCTATTGTAATGGTTTTAGAGTCAACTGGAGAAAGTGCATTCAAGATGATTTTGGATTTATTAAAATCTCTTTGGAAGTCTTCTACCATTACTGTAGACCAAATGAAAAGGGTAAGCATCACATTATTATTAGCATTTTCTAAGTTTATACCTTAGGTGTATAATTGAAAAAAGATTTTGAATTGCTAATCAAAGTTTCTTTCAAGTATGTGTAGTAATAGTATGACAATTTTTTTTTTTTGGCCATTCCTGGGGCTTAAACTCAGGCTCTGGGCACTGTCCCCAAGCTTCTTTTTGCTCAAGGCTAGCATTCTACCTCTTGAGCCACAGCACCACTTCTGGCTTCTTCTGCGTATGTGGTACTGAAGAATCGAACCCAGGGCTTCGATACATGCTAGGCAAGCACTCTACCACTAAGCCACATTCTCAGCCTGACAATATGTTTTGTTTAAAACTTGCACTCATTTCTTAGTAACTTGTGCACTCATTTCTTAGAAAGTAAAAAAATCATGTCAATGGCCTTTTTTTTTTTTTTTTTTGGGTCTGGTTGTGGGACCTGAACTCTGGGCCTGGGCGCTGTCCCTCAGCTCTTCAGCTCTACGCTAGCGCTCTACCACTTGAGCCACAGCGCCACTTCCGGCTTTTTTCTTTTTGCTTATGTGGTGCTGAGGAATCGAACCCAGGGATTCATGCATGCAAGGCAAGCGCTCTACTACTGAGCCACCTTCCCAGCCCTCAATGGGCCTTTTGCCTGTTTTATTAAAATATGATTGTGTGTTCTAGCCCAAGGATTCTTGATATTGATCATTTTTATTTTATATCTAACACAAACTTTTACCCAACAATACTTTTTTCCCTATTTAAATTGTGTTGTTGAAATTCTGGTGAAGTTATCTTTTTTCTTAAAAGTAGTTAAATGTCAGGCTGGGAAATGTCAGTCTCAAAAATACATTGGTAAGTGTTGAATTGTTTTATTGTATGTACTTTATGGGCTAACAATTCTGTGTAAAATTTTGTTTCAGGGTTATGAGAGAATTTACAATGAAATTCCAGACATTAATTTGGATGTTCCACATTCATACTCTGTGCTTGAGAGATTTGTAGAAGAATGTTTTCAGGCTGGAATAATTTCCAAACAACTCAGAGATCTTTGTCCCTCACGGTACTTTATTTAAATACTACTTTCTCAATATAAAATACTGGATGATATAGCTGGAAAGATTTCTACCATTCCACCTTTTCAGATTATGGCTTTTCTGTAGCTGCGAAAAGTTTAAAAATTGTTACTACTTCTACAGTTGTGTGTAATTCTCAATCATATTGTTTCATATTTGGCTTAGTGTTTAGCTTCCAAATAGTATTATGGTAGGCATAAATACATTCTAAATATCTTAGTTTTCTATTTTAATACTTAGCTAATTAACTTATTTTAGTAATTAAGCTGTTACTTAAAAAATAAAAAGGTTGTTGTTGAATATATATATATATATATTTTTTTTTTTGGTGCCAGTACTGGGGCTTGAATTCAGGGCCTAGTGGTGCTGTTAGCTTTTTTTTTTTTTTTTTTTTTAATTGCTTAAGGCTGGCGCTCTACCATTTGAGCTATATCTCCACTTCTTACTTTTTGGTGGTTAATTGGAGATGTTTCATGGACTTCCCTGCCCAAGCTGTCTTTGACCCGCAGTCCTCAGTCTCAGAGATCCTTCTGATTGCTAGGAGTACAGACATGAGCCGCACCCAACTGGATTTGTTTTCTAAAACAAAATTGTTTAGCAGGGCTAACAGTCTTTGTTAAAATATTTTTTAAGACAGTAATTAAGCCCTTTAAATCTTAATGTATAACCAGAAAAAATTTTAAATTTTTTTCATTGTCAGTAAGTTATAATTTCTATTTTTTAAAAAATGTTTTTGTTCTTTTAATTTCAGGGGCAGAAAGCGTTTTGTAAGTGAAGGAGATGGTGGTCGTCTTAAACCAGAGAGCTACTGAATATAAGAACTCTTGCGGTCTTAGATGTTATACAAATATATATCTGAATTGTAAGAGTTGTTAGCACAGTTTTTTTTAAGCACTTGTTTTGGGTACAAAGCATTTGTGAAATTTTATAAACTTCATTTAAGGGGAATTTTTAAAAGAAGTGTTTTCTTTTTTTCTTTGTTTTTGAGGGGATAAAGGATGGACAAAAAAGTAACCACTTCTTAAGTGGAATATTCTAATAAGCTATCTTTTCTAAGTGCCATGTTTATGACCTAATCATTCCAAGTTTTGCATTGATGTCTTGACTGCCACTCCTTTCTTTCAAGGACAGTGTTTTTTGTAGTAAAATCACTGGTTTATACAAAGCTTTATTTAGGGGGTAAAGTTAAGCTGCTAGAACCCCGTGTTGGCTGCTGCTGATGAATACTGTGCTTTGGGAGTAAAAAAAAAAAAAAAAAGGTCTTTTTTTTGTCTTAAAGAATTTTTAAAAAATGATTTAGTCATTAGACTTATTCATCTTTCCAGGGAACATATTGTTTGGTCTTAAAAGACTAGACAGTTAAGTAAATGGTGGCTGGAACATCTATTTTTCTACAAAACTGGAAAAATGAACCTGGTTCTACAAGAATGTACAACACACAATAAAACATGTGAAGCAGTGTTGATTCTTTATTGTACGTATATTTATTTTAGGTGAAAAATTCCTAGATATCTTGTCTGGCATACATACAGCCTTGGGTTTGAACTTAATGAGCACATTTCTGAACTCTTTATAGAGCCTATTTATTCAGCAAGGCTTCCAGGTCTGTGGTTATTTAAACTGCTTATTGATTGCTACAAGAATTACATCCAGTTTATAAAGGTCAATCTTAGGAATGTACCTATTACAGATTTAGGTACTGTCTTACAGACTTGCAGAATTAAAAGTTAAATTTGCCTCATGAGCTCTTTTCAAGTCTGTATTACTGCAGCTTACTGAAGATAATTATAATAAACATTTTCAGGTTATTAAGTTGTGTTTGGTACCTAGATGATAATGATGTAATTCTTTAGTCTTAAAATTAATATACTTGAAAGCTTAGTTCAAGCTAGGTGCTAGTGGCTTATACTTGGAAACCCAGCTACTCAGGATGCTAATATATGAGGGTCTGGGTTCAAAACTAGCCCAGGCAGATAAATCCAACAGATATTTACCTCTAACCAGCAAAAAACTGGACATGTGGCTCAATGGTAGAGTACTAACCTTGAGTGGAAAAAGCTAAGCCAGAGTACAAGGCTCTGACAAGTCCCAGTATTAGTGCACAAACATGCAAAACCTTAGGTGAGTGTAGAATAGGTGAAGATTTCTTAAAAATACCATTTAAGAAGCCAGTTTTGTCATTACTGATAGGATCATTACTGGCCAGGCTATATAGCATGAAACATGACATGGAACACAAAAATGATTAAAAATGATTTTGATTTTTATTAGGTAATTTGAAAGCCACTTAGTCACTTACTATGCAAAATTGATAGGAATGGTGAATAGTAATTTAAAATATAAAAACTTGGCTGGAGTAAAAGAGAAATCTCATGAAATGTCCCAAGTTTGTATTTACTACATACTAGTGTTTAACAAGTGTCTCCAATCTTTATTTTTACTTAAAGGAATATTCAATTTATTAGCAAATACTATTTTCAGCATAGAGATGTAGAATATTTTTGTTATTAAGTAATTTGAAAAGGAGTATCTTCTCTAGAGTGCTAGGTTATTGGTCAGTGGGTTATTTGCCGTTGTTCCTTTTCTGCCATTTCTTGTTTGCGAATTGTATCTTGTGCTGCTTGCTGCATTTTCTCCAGTTTTTCCAGAGTCAGAGATTTCAAGGGTAAAATCCTGGGTTTACACAGCACCATTGTGGTTACATCTTCCACAGACAACTGCCCTATGTTAAATAAGAAATAATAATTAGAGGAAAATAGCCCAGTTGTTTGGGCTAACAGCTACAATACAGGTCTAAATAGTTAAGTTATTGTAAATGAAAAATTCTTTTTTTAGACTGTGTTTTGCTTTGAACCAGCAAAAGAAGGTACTTATTTCATCTTAAGAAAATAAGGTTTTAACTGGGTACTGGTAGCTACTCAGGAGGCTAAGATCTGAGGATTATGGTTTGAAGCCAGTCTGAGCTAGAAAGTCCACAAGATGCTCAGTTAACCAACAAAAAGCTGGAAGTAGAGCTGTGACTCAAGTGATGAGTGCTAGCCTTGAACATACAAGCTCAGGGATAGTACTCAGGTCCTGAGCAAGGCCCCAGAACCTATACACAAAGAAAAAAATTGAGGTTTTAAGGAAGATAAATTTTTGAATTGTGCAAGACTCAAAGTAATTATAAATAAGATTTTATCAAACATTCTAAAATGTTATATGTGAGTTTACATATGAGTATCTAAATTACTGAAGATTTACTTAGTTTTTCTTAACTTTTGAGTTAGGTCATTTTTCCCTCACCATCAGACATTACTGTGAATATTTCATTAAAAAATCCATATCATAATCTGCAATATAACAGTTATAACAGTTATTAGGCAATAATGCTTCATTTGTTCTACTGGAAAAAGGAGGCCCCTTTTACAGTCTACATGTGAAAAGAATATATAGGCTGGGTGCTGGTGGCTCATGACTGTAATCCTAGGTACTCAGGAGGCTGAGATTTGAGGATTGTGGTTCAAACCAACCCGGGCAGGAGAAGTCCATGAGACTCTTTATCTCCAATTAACCACCAGAAAACTGGAAATAGTGCCGTGGTTCAAGTGGTAGAGTGCTAACCTTGAGCTGAAGAATACTGGTACAGCACCCAAATCCAGAGTTCAGGTCCCACAACTGACAAAAGTATATAGTAAAGGTAGACAGTGAACGAGATGAGAAATACATGACACAATACCAGTCAATGGTTAGTTACTGATGCTGCCTAGCACTCTGTGGGTCTCTATAAGTATTGGTAATGTACATACCTTGTTTTGGAAGAACTTCTCGGAACATTGACTTCACTTCTGCCATATCTGGACTGTTGGATACAGTAACTCTTTCCTTCAATGATAAATTATTTATTAATACTATTAAAAAATTCCAAAAGCATGTTAACAGACACTTTCATTGTGGTTTAAGTAAAATCACAATTCCTATAGAAAGTATACTACCTTGTCTGCATAATTTTCCCATTAGTTTCCTATATATTTTTTTAAATGAAAACAAGACTGACAGTTCATATAAGCATATAGAGCTTACCGGATTTTCTTAAAACAGTTTTTATTAACTGGTGATGGTATTAATTGGAAGACAGTATTCAAAATTATTTCCCTTGCATGAAAAAAACTAGTAGACCTTGAGATTTTTAGGGACATAGTCACTGATAACATCTCCCCTGAAAGGTACCATAATAAATGAACAGCAGTTGAAAAGTGAAGTGAGGTTGGTATCTAGAAGGAAGAGATAGTAAGCAAGTATCTAACATTTCTACTTTCTTAGTAACTTCCTACTTTTGATACTATTGCTATAATAAAATTTGTCCTAAGGATCACACTGCTACAATCTGAGGAACCTGATACAAAAAGACAGATTGACATTTGAAAAAAAATTCGTATTTTCCCTTTAATAAGAGAGATACACAGTGTACACTTTTGTCTTAGTATCTTTATTTGGTCTTGGGGCTTGCACTCAGTCCCTGAACTCTTATGCTCAATACTAATGGCGCTACCACTTTGACCCACAAGGCCACTTCCAGTTTTCTGGTGGTTATTTGAAGAAGAGTCTCAGTGGACTTTCTTGTCCAGGCTGGCTTTGAACCTTAATCCTCAGATCTCACCCTCCTGAGCAGCTAGGATTACAGGAATGAGCCATCAGTGCCTGGCTGTCACTAGTATCCAAGCATACATGCGATCTTTGGCTTAGTGACATTTGCGCTAAGTGTTACATCCCAGGTTATTGCTGTATGTTTGAGGTGCATCTGGTCCAGGTTGTAGAATGATTGAGCCCTTTCTAAACACATGCTTTTCCAGGCATCCCACCCATTTAGTGATGTTTCAGCACCCTGATGCAACTTCACGCTGTCTTTCACAACATCACCATCATAAAAGATTTATTATTTATAAAATGGTGGTGCTGGCTTGGTGCCTGCCTTTTCCACCCACAGAAAGTTAATTATAATCAAGTGAAGCAGCTTCCGGTCTTTGTCATTCTTGTTCCACTACTTTGACATTCCTAATAAAAGCTTCCTACTCTCCAAGCTTTTTCCTTTTCTGGAATGTCCAAGCTCCTGAGGAACCTCTATCTGCTTTCCAGAGCTCCTGTCATCCAATACACAGTACCTGTGTACTGCTATCAGGGAGAGAAGATGAAGTAGTAGGGTATGAACCAAGAATAAAGCAACTTACCACTGCGTGGAACGTAAGGTAAATGCTTTCTGTAATTTCTTTAAATTTGCATAGTAGCTTCAATCCTTGTTTTTGGGGGGGGGAGGTAATAATGAGGATTGAACTCAGAGCTTTGTGTGTACTAGGCAGGTGCTCTACCACTTGAGGCACATGTTAAACACTCTTTCCTTTGGTTATTTATGTTCAGCAGGCCTGTGTCTCCACAGGTTGCTGGGTGCACAGGTGCACATCACTGCACCTAGCCACTGTGCCTCCCTGCAGCTGGAATAACAGGCATGAATCACCATATCCACCCACTGGTTGAAGAGTGCTGTGAAGTTTCATGCGCAAGCTGGCCTTAAATCACAATTCCCCATCTCTACTTCTCAAGTGGCTAGGATTACTGGCACACATGATTAATTTTTTTCTTGCTACTTGGATTTGGTGGTGATACCTCATGATCAAGAACATTTTTTTTTTCCAGGTTAGGTTAAATGCTTTAACATTGCAGATTCCTAATTCTGGATGTAACTATCAAAAAACATCACCTAATCATCCATTAATAACATCAAAATAACATAAGGCCTGTGTTTGGTACATATTTGACATGCCACTAAAAAGGAGGATGATACTACAGGTGTTGATAAAGATGAAGCATTAAATGTATGACCAAAATGCTAAAATGGTGGGCAAACAAATACATACTAGCTGTAATTCTAGCTACTAATGATTAAATCACTATCCTTTAGTTTTGCTTAGTCTATAGCTCTTTCACATCTAAAACTGGCCTGGGGAAAACGATGAAACTTGGTGCTCTACCAAACCTCAGTTCTCTGACTAAGCTGCCATTGTTAGTGGAAAGGGTGTGGGGCCAAAGAACTGGTGGTAAGGAGTGGGTTGGACTTGGTGTGGATAATATTCAGTGCTCTTACTTACTTAGGTGGTTTCTGCTTTACTAGAGATGACTCTTGTTTCTAGGCTCCCTTAGGCACTGGCAGGAGAGAAACAGGAAGGGCAGGGCTAAAATAAGCAAGGTAGTGGTTGGATGACAAGCTCTGGCTGGGCTACACTGTCCTGATAATTAACTGCTCTCATAGTCCAGAGTAGGAAGCATTTTTTTCTTTCATGGGTGTTTTGTATGGTGTATCTAATAAGTTGTGGTTGCTCCTGAGACTACTTAATGCTCAGGTGCGACACATACAGACTAGCATATTTACACACACACACACACACACACACACACACACACACACACACACACACACACACACACACACACACACACACACACACACACACACACACACACACACACACACACAGCAACACACCAGGGAGAGAATGGGTTAAAGGAAAACATAACTGGCCATTGCTGAAATTCGTATGTATCATACTTTTGGGCATTCGCTAAATAAATTAGTGCTTATGTACCAGACACTGTTCATCAGTGAACAACATATACAACAAAATTTTTGCCTGTTAGTGCTTACAGCCTGAGAGCAAAGGGAGAGAAACAACAGAATACTAACAGGTAGGTGCTATAGAAGAATAGAGTAGTTTAAGGACATTGAGGAAAACTAGGGGGGAGTAATTCAATTTTAATAGAAAAACTATGATGATAACAGACTGCTGTTGTGTTTGTGAATGCAAAAAAACATTACAAAAAAGTCAAAGGCCCTATAGCATACACAGTGAAGCTAGAGGGAAATGGCACTGTTAGTTCCGCTTTTTCTTTTACGTTTTGAACTCCTGGTCTTTAGCATGTTAAGGAGGCACTTTACTACCTGAGCCATGCTCCCAGCATTTTTCCTCTGGTTATCTTTGAGATAAGATCTCAAGTTTATGCTCCGGATAGCCTGGACTATTTATGCTTCCCATAGCTAGAATGACATGTGCACTGCCACATTTATTAGTGGACCAATAAAAATCTCAAGAGGGAGGTCTCCAACACTTTTTTCCCAGGCTGACCTCAAAACTTGATTTCCTGATTTCTAGCTCTTGAGTAGTTAAGATTACAGGTGTGAGCCACCCTACTTTTTTAGAGGGACACACACACACACACACACACACACACACACACGTTTACAAAAGGGCATATATACAAAAGTTATATGTGTAAGTTTTCTTTGACACAAGTATTCCAATAATGAGCCTTCAAACAGAGGCACTAGTGTATAAAGAAAGTATGAAAGAATTACACTGAATAGCAAAGTGTTTAGCAATAAATAGGCATACCACATGCTCACTAACAGGTCAAAATAAATACGGAACATCCAAAGACTGGAATACTCTGCCAGGGTAAAAATTATGCAGACTGTCAAGGTATACTTTAAGAAAAAACATACCAACTTGAAGAAATGATTATTTTTATATTAATGAAACCCAAACTTTTAATGTTCAAAAAATACAACATCAGTTGTATTTAAACTCAGGGCCTGGGTGCTGTCTCTGGGCCTCTTTGTGCTGAAGGCTAGTGCTCTACCACTTTAGCCACAGCACCACTTGTGGCTGTTTTTAGTTTACTGGAGATAACAGTCTCATGGGTACTTTTCTGCCAGGGCTGGCTTTGAATGCTGATTCAGATCTCAGTCTCCTGAGTAGCTAGGATTACAAGTGTAAGCCACCAGCACCCAGCTCAGCTCATGTTTTTAAAACCTTGGTCTGGGTAAACAGAAAATAATCTGATGCTTCCTTTTCTTCCATACTTTCTTTGAAATATCTCCTGTGAGAACCTATACAAACCTATTGCAGGTATTCAAAGTGAATGTCTAAAATTAGTGTAAACTTGAAATCAAATCCTTGTCATGAAGTATTTTACTACTAGAGTGAGAGATGAAAGATGTGTCTATATATAATTAGTATTTTAAAAGTCAATCATATATATTTGGAGAGTTAAAAGTCTCTGGGATGATTTAATACATTAATTTCAAGTATAGGGCCAGGCTATATCATTAAAAGTGTCTTTCTGACTTTGAAAATATACACTAGTGCTAACCAACTTTTCTACCTGCAGACTCCTATAGACATTTTGAAAAAAAAACTAGACAGCACTTTATACATTTCTGTTTACATATAATTTTTCAATTAAGATAGTTATAAAGAATATTCCCAGCACATTTAAAAATAACATATCAATCTTTAAAAATAAACCAATTTAAATATGACGCCTGGCTCATGTCTGTAACCCTAGCTCAGGAGACTGAGATTTGGAGTATCAGAGTTTGAGGCCAGCTTGGACAGAAAAGTTTGCTAGTCTCCATCAGGCCAGGGAAAAAAGTAGAGAGACTGAATATCAACAAAAAGGATGGGTGTGGTGGTGTATGCCTTTCATCAGTCACATGGGGGTTATAAGTAGAAGGATAGGGTCAAAGCAAGCAAGGAAGCAAAAAACAAAAACCCCAGAGAGATTCATGAGCCTAAGAAGTTGAGATTCAAAACCATACTGGGTGATAAAGAAATGGTCAAGGATGACTGAGATGTGCTAACATTGAGTTGATGTTATTAATAACATTGAGTTATTAACTCAAGTTGGGAACTCAGGCCAGGAAAAAGGAAGGAAGGATAAAGACCATGAGTTTGATTTAGGCTTACTGAATGTCTTATTAAGGCTTATTAGGCTTATTAAGTCCAATTGGAAGGAAAAAAGGTTTGAGGTCCAGAAAAATTATAGAGGTAGAT